AACAAATATCTAGAAATTATCTTCACAGTTTCTTAGGTTCCATTTAATTTGGTATTTGTTTTTGTGCGATATATCTCTTAGGGCGTGTCAAATGGTAAAGCTGCAATTAACGGTGTCTTTTTTGTGTTGCAGTTCCACCAGTACCAGGTTGTTGGGAGGAAGCTCCCTACGGCATCTGATGAGCACCCCAAGATTTACTGAATGAAGCTTTGGGCCACCAATGAGGCTCGCGCCAAGTCCAAGTTCTGGTATAATCCTTAGCCTTAGCTCGGCTTTTGTGACCCCAAATGTTCATTGGTGAATTTTGGGTTAAACTTAATATTGTTGATTGATTTGTTTGGATTAGGTATTTCCTGAGGAAGCTGAAGAAGGTCAAGAAGAGCAATGGCCAAGTGCTTGCCATTAATGAGGTTTGTTCTCTCTGCCGTTTATACTCAATTTTTTCTAATTAATAAATTTGTACCCATTTTGATTATTTCTCCAGTGTCTAATGTAGTCAATGTTGTTTTGGGGTGGGGAAGTGGTTCCTCCTCAATTCTCCTCCTGGCTTAATCCAATTTGTTGCCAAAGGTCTCTGCCTTTGACCCCAAAGCATCACTCTTTTATCACATGTTTTTTACTTGAGAGATGATGACTTTTCTAGTTGGAATAACTTTTCTGGTTAATGAATCTAGTGATGATGATTGTGGATATGTTGGGGAGGATTGTGACGGCATATATGAAACTAAGCACTAAGATCCTTCTTTTTAGTTTTAGTTTTAGTTTTTAATACTGATGAACTCTTGAACATATATATTATTTGTATTTCATGACACATTTATCTAATGCCACTACGAACAGCATGGTCTTCTCCCAAGCTTAGATTCTCAATCCTCTTAGTAGGCTAAACATGCAGAGGCTAGCTTTCGCTTCCCAAATAATTATATTAAGATCATGTACAGTTTGAAATATGTCATTCAAATCAGCTGCCTTTGATGCCCCTAATATTTGGTTTGCATTAGGAAAGAAAAATTCTGAAACATAGCTGCATTCTCACAACTTTTTACTTTTCGATTGAAGGTTTGATTTTCATTGCAATCTTCTTGGAGCTATTTAATCAGTCAATTGCCAACTTAAGAAATTTCAGCAACTATATTGGTCTTGCTGTTGTTTTAAACTCTGCCATTATCTGCATATGTTGAGCTCATAAATAAGAAGCATCGTGTGTTTGAAGCTATTCATTCAACCAAATTATTGTGAGTTCCTCTTTATGAAGTAATCCTCATTTTTGTCTTTTCTTTTGTTGCCAATATTGTAGCTTTGCAAGCCAATGTTGTTGGATGGTGTTTTGCTTCTGCGATTGAGTTGGTCTTCCTTGTACTTCCTAAACCATATGATTGTAATTTTGTGAGTGTATTATCTAGGGATAAAAGTAGTTTAGCTACTTTGTTAATTATACATGCTGGAGGTAACTGAAAGGGAGGACATTTCTTCTTTCCTGAATAGTCGTTGTGGCTTTAGTTTTTATGTTTTGTGGTCTTATCAATTTCGTACTCAAAAAGGTTTGGATGAACTTTGAAATGATTGACCATTTTTCTTTCGCAGTTCAGTTCACAGGCACTTGACTATTGGATTTTGGATGCTTGGTTTTGAAGGAGACTAAAAGACTAAGGGCCAGTTTTGCTTTAGCTGTGAAGGAAAGTAGTTTAGCGTGTGGTAAACTAAATAGTAAAACTGCTGTTAGTACTAAAATTACTTTAGGAGTGTTTGGTAACTTTTTGTGTGAAAGTGCTATGATTGTGTATAATGACTAAGATCTAAGGACATGATGTTAACATTTTTTCTTCTATTTTTCTGAATTAGTGAAAAGAATAGCACTTTCAGTTTGACTTGTACAATTCTTCTTATAGGTTTTCAGCAATAAGCCTATTTTAGCATGACAAATTATACAATTACCTATAGGGTGGTGTTAAATGAACTCTAAAATTATCTGAGTACACTTTGTGATCTAAGTATATTCCAATATTTAAATTAAAATATAAAATTAACTAAGTATACTATATTTAACTACTAAAAATACCTTGTGTAAATTTACCACTCAATAAAAAACATTTAATTATTTGCCACCTAAATTTCACTTTTTGGTGCTAATCTACCACCTCCGTCAATTTCTGTTAGATTTTCTAATAAAGGTGGGTTTGTTTTTAAATTTTTTTTCTTTTCTAAATTCATCTAAAAATTTAAATTAATAAACAAATGCCTAAAATAATTTTTAAAAAATAGAAAAAATAAGGATAGCTAGTCCGCGATTTTCCTCTTCACCCACGATAGCCTCCCTCCTTCCCCACCCTTGCACGGCCTAATCCCACAACTTTGCTTGCCGTTTTCCATTACAAACATTCCTACCAGTCCAAAAAATAATTTAGTCAAGAGCGAAGAGGAGATAGATTAGTTTTTGGAAAGTACAAAGCCTCTAAAACTCCATAAACTTCAGAGGTCATCCACATATAGAGAGACAATCAAGATATCGAAGTTACCTTGAGTTTTGTTGTAGAGAGTAGGTTCGCTTTTGCTCCTCCTGAAGCCTATGTTGATGAAGTACTTGTCTATGTGGTTGTTCCATGCTCGTGGGGCTTACTTGAGTCCATACAAGGCTTTCTTTAGCTTGAGTGCTTTATCTTTTCCTCCTTGCTTAATAAATCATTGTGGTTGCTCCACATATATTTCTTCTTTGAGCTCTCCATTTAGAAATGCAGACTTTACATCTAGCTGATAAATTCTCCATTTCGTTTGAGCTAGTAGTGCTACCAGTGCTCTTGTAGTGTCAAGTCTTGCAATTGGTGCGAAGGTCTCGTTGTAGTCTATGCCTGGTTGTTGCGAGTAGCTTTTAGCTATTAGCCTCGCCTTATGCTTTTGTATTGATCCATCAGGATTAAATTTGGTCTTATAAACCCATTTACCCCAATGTTCTCTTTGTCTTGTCGGTGATCAACGAGTTCCCATGTTTTGTTTTTCTCAATTGTTTTGATTTCTTCTTCCATAGTTTTTCTCCAGATTTTTCTTTTGCTGCAACTTCAAAACTTTCTGGCTCTATAGTTATGAAGTTGCAAGTTTCATATATATCCTGGAGTGATCTAGTTCTTTGTTCTGGTTCTGGAGAACCTTAATGTTGTATAGATGGAGGAGTTGTTGTAGGTGGTGGAGTCGTACTTGGAGTTTCTTCAGTTTCCTCTCTGCATGGTTGTGTTATAGTAACACTTTTCCTTTTAGCTTTTTCTTCCTCCCAGTTCCATGACGTTGATTCATCGAACTCAACATCTTGGATTATTATGAACAACTTAGTTCTGGGATTGTAAACTCAATAGCCTTTAGATTGGGAATTGTATCCCAAGAATATACCTACTTCATATTTTTCTTCTAGCTTGTGTCCTTTCTCCTTAGGAATGTGCACATAGCAAATGTATCCAAATACTTTTAGATGCTTTGTTGATGGCTTTATACTGCTCCAAGCCTCAATAGGAGTCTTATTTTGTAAAGCTTTTCTTGGGCATCTATTTAGCAAGTATACTACTGTATATACAGCTTTTGCCCAAAATGCGTTTGACAAGTCTTTTTCAAATATCATGGATCTTGCCATATCCATGACAGTTCTATTTTTTCTTTCTAAGACTCCATTTTATTCAGGAGTATAGCCAACTGTAAGTTGATGCTCTATTCCTTCATCTTCACAAAATTTGTTGAATTCTTTAGAGGTATATTCTTTTCCTCTATCACTTCTTAGAGCTTTAATATAGTGGCCACTTTGTTTTTCGACATGGGTTTTGAATTTTTTGAAGATATTAAATACTTATGTTCTTTCTCTTAGAAAATAAACCCACGTCATTTTAGTATAGTCATCTATGAACAGGATAAAGTACCTGTTGTTATCAAGAGATGGAGTCCTCATGGGTCCACAAACGTCTCTGTGAACAAACTCCAACAAGGCCTTAGCTCTCCATGCTTTTCCAGTTGGAAATGCTTGTCGATGTTGTTTGCCAAGACGGCAACCTTCACAGACATCTCTTTTATGTTTGGGAGGTCTCTCATCATATTCTTTTGATAAAGAGTTTTTAGTGCATAAAAATTAAAGCGGCCAAATCTTCTATGCCAAGAATCTTCTACTTCTGCTTTCATGGCTGTGGCTTTTACAAATTGTCATTGGATGGGAAAATTTCTATTTTCCATCCTTACTTTTGTTATTATGTGATTTTTATTGCTTTTATCGAATATTGTGTAGGAGTCTCTAGAAAAGTACAGAGAGTATCCATTTTCAATCATTGTCCAACACTTAATAGATTATGCTCAAGGCTAGATACTAGTAGAACATCTTTAATATATTTAGTTCCTTTATTAGTTTGGATAGAGATTGTACCTTTTCCTTTTGTCTCCACCAGTGTTCCATTTCCCAGTTTTACTTGGGATTTACGGACTTATCTATGTTGGAGAAGACACTTTCATCTCCAGTCATGTGGTTACTATATCAGCTATCAATCCATTTCTTGTTGGTTCCTTCTGGTGTGGCTTGATGAGCACAAAACACATGCTCATTATTCTCACTTTTTTCTGAGTAATTGGCTTGATAGTTCTTGGTCCGACAGTCTTTTTCTATGTGCCCAATTTTTTTACAATTTCGACATTTGGGCTTGCCACAAAACCAACAATATTTTTCTAGGTGGTTTGTATTTTTACGCACCCTGTGGGGAGGATAGTTTTTTCTCTCTTTCATTTCTTTTTATTTCCCCAACTCTTATTGGATTTATAATCTTCTCCTCTAGAACCTTCTCCAAATTTCCTTTCCGCTTCTTTAGTTTTCTGAGATCTTAAATTTAGTTTTGACTGAAAGACGCTTTCAATTGAATTTTCATTTCGCCTACTTAAGTCTTTTCTCATATGCTTCAAGAGAGTCCATTAGTTCTATCACTGACAGACTAGTTAAATCTTTTGTTTGTTCAATGGCAGTAACTAAAGGATCATACTTATCAGGAAGACTTATAAGTTTTTTTCTACAATTCTTGAATCATTAATATTTTCTCCATAGGCTCTCAATTGATTAATTATTTCTTTTATTTTAGCATAATAGTCTTGTGTGGTCTCAGAATCCTCCGTTTTAATATTTTCAAAATCTCTTCTCAAAGTTTGTAGTTTAATCGCACTTACCTTGGCATTGCCCTTAAATTCATCCTTTAAGGTATTCAATGCTTCCTTCAGTTGTGGCTCCCATGGTCCTTGGAAAAATCGTATCATGCAAGGCTTGTTGTAGGGCATAGAAGGCCTTTGGATCTTTTTGTTGATTCTTCTTTAGTTGCCTCAACTGTTCCATGGTTGGATTTTCTAGATTATTGAAGCCACTATGTTTCATAAATCTTGAGACATAAAATAGGTCTTTAATTACATACTCCAAAAGTCACAGTTTTCTTAGGTGAAAATAGGAAGAGGGTCAGAGTTCTGGCTAGTGGTAGACATGATAGAGGACTAGAGCGAACCAACGCCCAGGGTTGATCGGAACAAGCTCTAATACCACTTGTTGGAATTTTGGGAGGTGTGTGATGTAACACCCCGACTCCGATTATTTTCCTATTTTAATTAAATTAAGAGAAATTATTAATTTACTCTTGGGTTAAGGGTAATTTTGGTCATTTTCTGATCCGGGAAGATTTTGGGACCACGAGTGGTTTGGTTGCGTAAGTGGTACTGAGATGAAACCATAGACAGACGGTAGGCTTGAATCGGAGATTTAATGAAGTTTTGGCGATTAAAATCAGCTCGGTGGCGGAACCGTAATTATTTTGAAAAGTTTGGAGTAAAGATCAGATTTTTCATTTTTACTTTCTCTCTCTCTCTCTCTCCCGCGTTTCCTCCCTCTGCGATTTCCCCCTCCCCTGTTACTGTTCACCGAGCAGAAACCACCGTGTCGCCGCCGTTACAGTCCACGACCGACCTCGAGACCGGTCTCGTCTGAACCGCCAGCTCTCCCTCGTCCTTTCCCGACCAGTTTCAGCCATCACCGTCCACTGTGCTCGCCGGAAAACGCAGAAACGATGCCGGAAGGGACAGAACTTCCAGCCGCTCGCTCCCCTCCCTCCCACCACCC